GAAAATCTACAGATATAAATCAACAACACTTCTAAATACAATAAAATAAAATGCATATAGCAGTTATTAAAGTATATTTCACTGCGTACTCTAATTCCCCACCCACAAAACCATATAACCGTTTTCTTAGGACAACATGCTGGGAGTAGGGATTAATGAGGGGGACTACATAAGCTACTGTTGCTGAAAAAAATAACATAAAATAATCAAAAAAGTGTTTTGATAGGTGGAAATTCGATCTACTGACAATTTGCAACACCTTCTAAACAAACGAATAATTCGGAATAAAAGACACATTTCACACCTATTACTACTGGTCGCGTATTACAGAATGCTGGGGTTTTCGCTTGCGTAGGAGCCCAAAACGGGATCGTTGCCCATTTCTGGATGTATATGTTCTACTTTTAGATCAATACTTTACGTTTTTCTATTTTCGCCCAAATTTAAATTAACTTCCTTTAGATGGCAGTATGATGATCTTAGACCGAAACCAGGATACATGTATAGGTTTTCATGCAGGGACGAATATTACTAAGACACCGGTCAGTTACCTGTGAACGAATGGGTGTTAGTGTTTCAAATCCTCCTCATGTCAACTGCTTGCAGTTGGATATGATTGTTGCGCTGCTTAATTACCTTAAGCTATGTTTATCATCACAGCAATCTATCAACCATATCGTGCCCGTCGATAAGTGTCATTTCTGTCTGCAAACTGACCCCTAGTGAATGCGCATTTTATCCAATTTACCTTTAACAAGTCGCTATGAATAAGCGTAGAATCGTTGGGTAGACCAAAACCAATTCATCCGAATTTAATAAAGCTGTCGAACTCTCCGATACCAATACACTTAACGTTCTCCACTAAATGCAAGCTTCCAACTCTTAAAACGTAAACTGCAGTACGGACATTTAATCGTCTTCTAAACTGTGGATGAAGAGGCCAAGGTCCCAAAGTGCAGAAGGAAATATACAGATACAAATCGAACTAACGTGGTGGCCACCTGGGACAGTAGACACGTAGAGGCACAATCAGATGTAGCGTACTTGAAACCACAGATCTCTTCACTTACTAACAGCTTTTTTTGTAATAGTCAGGGCCCACCTCCATGAGTGCGGAGCCGGCGTTGCGGAGTCTCCTAATTACGCTTTGTGCGATGGCCCCCTCCTCTAGCTTGTCATCCAGTTCATTAAATACACCCCCTTTTGTGGTGGCCCTGCGCGATTCCATTAGACGGGGTGAGGTCTCGATGGGGGCGTCGTCCTCGTCCGATTTGGCTATTAGAG